GTGCTGCACCTTCATCTCGCTTCTTCCTTCAAGACCCTCAGTGAGCTGAAATGTGTCTGATAGCACAGCTGGGCATTTGGGAATGGATTGTTTTGTCTTTCCAGCAGCTGGCTGTAGCGCTAGCTTCCTCTTTTCCCAGATGCTGTCCTTTGCCATTTGCCAACTTGCAGGAGCGCTAAGCCAGTGCATTAAAGCGCCCAGGCTGAGCAGAACCTGTGCGTGATCAGACCAGAGGAGGTGGGGTGTTCATAAGGGCACTTCAGCCATGAAGTGTCACTTGGGCAAAGCCCTTTGCAGGGGGCAGCATTCAGTGCTTCTGGCGGCCGCAGGGTTTGCTCACGGTGGACGGAGCAGAGCTGCACCCGTAGCTGTCTGCGGCAGCAGCATCTGGGCAGCTCTCAGCTGGGCTGGAGGAGCCATGTGCAGGGCTGGGAGTTGCCAGATCTCGAGGTTCCAGCCCACAGAGCAGGCTTGATGCTGTGCTGATGGGCCTTTATAACTGCTGCTGTCACAAGGCGCTGCCAGAGCCCCTTCCTAGGTAGTGGTACCTCTGGGGAAGGCTGAGGCCTGGCTTTTCAGGACAAAACAGATAAATAGAGAGTGCTCTTTACCTTTTAAACAGAGGGCATTTTGGGGGCTGCCTTGCATTTTAAAGTATGAAACAAACAAGGTAACCAGCTGAAGTTTTAATTGCACAGCCCTATGCCATTTCTTGTTCTTCTGTAGCTGGAGAATGTGAGATACGGTGAGACAGTGCTTAAGTGCGGAGGGGAGGGCTCTGCAAACCATTGCATCTGCACCACGGGGATCAGGCTGCTGCCCCCCCAGCTCCCGTCCACCCCACAGCTCTCCCTGCAGGGGTGAGATGCAGCTGGTTCCAGCTGCAGGCACGGGAACCTCAGAAGCACCGTCTAAGGCAGGAACGTGCAGCTCTGATGGCAGCTGCACGCAGCAGAGGCTTAACAGTGCTGCTGCCTGCAAGGACTCATTTCCAGGCAACAGAAACGAGATGGAGATGAGTCAGTTCTACTGGGGTGAAAAAACCTCCCATCAGCTGAGATGTTTCACGTGAGGAAAGCTGGCGCTTTATTTTGGAAGGTGCCTCTTCCCAGTCCTTCGGTGAAGCCTGTCTCATTGCACTGCACGTGGCCAAGCGCAGGGAGTGAAGATTGAGGCAACTGCTCACCTCTTGTCCTACCAGGACAAGTGTTTCAGTGAAGCCAAGCACAGGCCCCGTTCCCGAGGGCGCCCGCTCTCCCTGGGGTAATGAAACCGGGAACGCGCGTGCGGGGCAGTGCTCGGCCTTGCTCTTCTGAGACCCGCTCCTCGGGTACCAGCCCTGGAAAGGTGGAGGTTCTCAAGGGGCTGCACTCAGGCTGTGCCGTGGTCTTACAGCACCTCCTACAGAGGGCTCGGTGGCTGGGCAAAGAGAGCTCTGCTTTTGAATGAGGCTCAGGCAACCTCAGCCTCGGAAGCCGAGTCATCCGTGATTTCCAGGGACGTGGAAATGGTGATGTAAAGGCACTTGTGTGCTGACGTGGCATTTTTCCATAGATGACTGTGTGAGCCCCTGCACTCAGCACCCTCGGCAAGTTACAGCCATGGGCTTTTGCGAAGGTAGGTAAAGGTTATGTTTAACCTGTAACGTTTTCCATCTCTATGCAGCCTGCGCTATAGCTGTGTATTTCTTCTGCGTTACTTAAATTCACCTCCAAAGTGAAAGCACAGTTGCCAAAGGGCCTGACGGCTATGGAGACCATGTGCTACAGAGAGTGCTAGGAACAGTGTGGAAATCCCTATTGTTACAAGTTACCCTTGAACAGCTGAAATCTTCTGGAATTTATACCACTA